ACCACATCGGTTACATTCATAGGGTTTCTCTCCAGTATGTGTTCTTTCATGCCTTTGAAGATGACCGTGACGGGCAAAGGCTTTTCCACATTGATTACATTCATAAGGTTTCTCTCCAGTATGAATTCTTTCATGCCTTTGAAGATGACTGTGACGCGCAAAGGCTTTACCACATTGGTTACATTCATAAGGTTTTTCTCCAGTATGTGTTCTTTTATGTACTGCGAGATGATTGTCTTGTGAAAAGGCTTTACCACATTGGTTACATTTGTAGGGCTTCTCTCCAGTATGTGTTCTTTTATGTATTGTGAGATAAGTGTCTAGCAAAAAGGCTTTACCACATTGATTACATTTGTAGGGTTTCTCTCCAGTATGTATTCTTTGATGTATCGTGAGATAACTGTCTTTTGAAAAGGCTTTATCACATTGATTACATTTGTAGGGTTTCTCTCTAGTACGTGCCTTTTTTTGTGTTTGGAGACTACTGTGATATGCAAAGGCTTTACCATATTGAATACCTTTATTAGGTTTTTCTCCAGTATTAATTATTTCATGCCTTTGAAGATGACTGTGAAGTGCAAAGGCTTTACCACATTGATTACACTCATAAGGTTTCTCTCCAGTATGTGCTCTTTCATGTCTGCAAAGATAATTGGCACATGTTAAAGTTTTGCCACATTCATTACATTGACGAATCTTTTTATCTGTATGAATGAATCTTACAATTTGGTCTAATGGTAAAGAAAAGTTAGATCTTAAGGTTTTATCACTTTGTTTACATTCATGATTTTCCCCTTCATTATGAGTTCTTTTGTGTCTTTGAAGATACCTGTGATGGTAAGAGCATTTATTACATGGCTCACAATTATGACTTCCCTTTTCTATAAAAGGTTTTTCACATATTTGAAAAGAATTGAAAACCTTACTGTACTGATTGCATTCATAAATTTCCCTATGGTGTGAATCATATTACATTTGCAAAGTGAACCAGGTCAAACAGAAGAATTTCCACATTCCTAGTCCTCGTAGGGATTTCCTGAAGTGTGAGTTTGTGGATGTTCCCAAAGAAGTTGGGAAACCAATTAATTGTAAACTTGTATCACATTCAAAAAATCTACTCAAAATGGGTAGTACTCAAAAGACTACTACATATATTCAATTGTTCTGGGAAAGAAATTGCTTCTTTCAATATCCCTATGCTCACATGGTTTGTATCCATTGTGACATATGATATACCTATTAAAAGAATAACAACAAATAAAAGGGTTCCACACTGCATTCACACACTTTGACACTTTGTTCCTTATAGACATGTGGTATCGGGATTAAGGTTTCTCCACAACAACATTCTTGACTCCCATAAACTGCCCATCACACTAAATTTAGTAATGTTACTACAAGTACATATGCATCACCAGCTTTACTGTGGATGATTTGCTTATTAAACAGTTTTAGACCCTTCTTTTTTGGGAAAACACCAAATGGCGGATGATGCAGGTGCAGGGGAAGGGCCTGGAGAAACCGGTGGTCCAGGATTAGGAGTCTTCCACAGAAGATTCAGCAATGGTCTTAGGTTTTCTCCCCACCCCCCGTTGTGGCCAAGGCCATGGGCGTGGCTGAGGCCATGGGGCTCATGGAGGTAAATCCAAAGACAAGAATTGGATCCCTGTCACCAAGCTGGGCCTCCTGGTTAAGGACATGAAGATAAAGTCTTTGGAGGAGATCTACCTGTTCTCCCTGCCCATTAAGGATTCTGAGATTATCGACTTTTGCCTGGATGCATCCCTAAAGGATGAAGTTCTAAAACTCATGCCAGTGCAGAGGCAGACAACGGGCTGGCCAGCAGACCAGGTTCAAGGCTTTTGTCACTACTGGGGACTGCAATGGTCACATTGGTCTTGGTGTTAAGTGTTCCAAGGAGGTAGCCACTGCCATTCAAGGAGTCATCATCTGGGCCAAGCTTTCCATCGTCTCTGTGTGGAGAGGCTATTGGAGCAACAAGATTGGCAAGCCCCACACTGTTCCATGCAAGGTGATAGGCTGCTGTGGCTATGTTTTGGTGCATTTCATCCCTGCTCCCAGAGGCACTGGCATCATCTCTGCTCTTGTGCCCAAGAAGATACTAATGATGGCTGGTACTGATGACTGCTACATCAGTGGGTGCACTGCCACCCTGGGCAACTTTGCCAAGGCCACCTTTGATGCCATCTCATCTTGTGAAAACCTACACCAGAGTCTGTTCAGAGGACCCAGGCTCCAGCTGTGGCTACCACATAAGGGTTTTTATACAAGAAAAATAAAGTGAAATAAATCTGAAAAAAAGAGGTTTTAGACATATACTTATCATCTATTCAATGTGTATACCTTTTGCAATATCTAAGTGGTATGAGACCAAACAGATTGGCAGTTCCACAGCATAGCTCTAATGGGGCTATGACTCAACTTGTGATATACAGAAAGGTTTTGTTTCCTTGTCTTTTTTCTTAGCGGAATGCCTTCCAAACACAAATCAGATACATGACATTGAGGTATACATTTTTGTGAGAATTTATTAATCATCAATAAAGCTTAAAGCAGAGCTCCTTTACACTGTTGTTTTTTTTTTTTTTAAACTTCCAGAAAACATTAAAATGTATTTAGAGGCATATCTGTATCAGCTTACACACAAAAATTACCTTATATGTCTTCTAGGTCTTTGACAATGTTCTTCAATAGTGTGGCATTCCCAATTATAGCCTAAAATATAGTACCAGAAAATATATGATATATTATTGCAAATTAGGAATATCTTAAGTTACTAGATTCAGTGAATCTTAGAACCATGGCTGATTAATTTACCTCACTGTTCCTTATTCTCAATTAGAATTACATAAGAGCATCACTAACAAAGAAACATTTGCCCCTTATTTTAAAGTGTGAAAGAAAATTCACAGTCTTACCTATAGCCATGAGATTCCTGTAGGTTTCCAGCATCACATCTTTGTAGAGACTCTTCTGGGAAGGATCCAGCAGAGCCCACTCTTCCCGAGTGAAGTTCACATAAACATCATCATAGGTCACTGTATCCTAAAATATACCATACATGTGTACAACAGAATGAATGATACTGACAATGGTGTAAATGTATAGCTCATTGACAACATATTCATATAATTCTGGTGCTTCCTCCACTTATTTCCTGATACAGAAGTTCTAATGTAATCACCATGTCATTTTTAGAAGGAAACTGAATAATGAGGTTCACCACCATCATTTCTAAGCCCTTTGAATAGGTATGAGACAAAAGAATTAAAAACTAGGTTTTGGAGGTATTGAGCTTAAAAGTTTAAAACATATCAGGCAGGTTGACATTGTTGCTTCTAGGCAGATCCCACCAACTTCAGGGAAGAGCTGACCTTACTGCTCACGAGAGGTTCTGTTGCCAGGAAACCGGCCTGGATGGCCTGCTCCTAGAGTTAGCACAGACTGAGCTAATCGGCCCTAGCAGCAGTCTATCAGTCCAGGACAGAACTAAAACCCAAGGCCAGCACAGGACAGGACTGAAGCCCAAGGCCCACTGTTTCCCACTATCTGGTTTCAATCCAGACATTGCATTGTGATGCTTATTCTACACATCACCTATCTCAAGTTTGGGTAAACATGCCACCATTTGTTCTATAAATTGTCAATTAAAACAACCAACCACAATGCTGAGCAATGGGGAGAATAGGGTGGAACATCTGGTCTGGAGTGGGAGAAAGGAGGCGGGAGAAGGAAGCAAGGGAGAAGAGAGAATCCAGAGGAGAGATCTTGGAACCACGTGGAGAGATGGCCTGAACTTTAAATATGACTAAAAGCAAGTATAATGGGTAAAATCTGAATGATAGAAAGTATGCAGGTTTGGAGGCTTACGATGGAGTAATCATTGCCCAGCATTGTCTCTAGGTTAATTAAATAAATCCTAGTCTCTGTGCAGTGATTTGGTTATACAGCTGTTTAGGAATAACTGCAGCCTAACTAAAAGATATATCAATACTAAATGTTAATAACCTACAACATCCCTGTTAGGATTTGTGCAGCAAAGTTACACAGCGGGTTCACAAATCACACCGCGTGACTGGTTCCATGTGGGAGGTTTATTAAGGGAAAGGGGATGGGGTCACAGAGACCATCTCTGCACAGGGAAGGAGAAAGAGAGCCTGGAGGTGGTACGAGTTCTCTTATAAGGCGATCCAGAGTATGCACAGGTGGATTCAGATGGCTCATAGATGGCTTCACGGATGCCTGATATCTGGTTTGTTTGGTCCTTGGGGCTAGTTGTAGAGATGCCTGCTTACAGATCCCAACAGTCCCTGTCCCTGCAACTTCTTCATCTCTCAGTTTGGTTACTTCCACTCCCTATATGCACCTCTCCATGGCAAACTTCTCATAGCTTAGATATCTCAACATCTTGTGGTCTCAAAATGCAACTCAGGCTTCATACTCACAGCTTCATGCAATGAACTCTCATAATTTCCTCACGGGGTCTCTGACCCTGACAAACACAGATGGCTGAAACAGTGCTGAACTGAAACCGAAAGGACCAGGCCTGCCTAACCTCTCCCCCACCACCACCACCCAAAAAAGTCATCAGTCCTAGGAACTAGGCCATAGGTCACCAATTCCAGGAACAAGACCATAAAATTCCCTACCCAAGGAATAGCCTGGAGGTAACCACAAGAATGGAAGTTATCTTATCTCAGGGTGGGGCATTTATGCTGGGCAGCCCACCGACCTCGTAGTAGAACATTCATGGCACAAAAAATACCTAACATTCTTGAGGTCTTATAAATAGTTCCCTCCATGTTAGTTATGTTAGTTAGCCAATCACTTTGTAATAAGCTTGCCCTTTGTGAATGTCATCCAATCATGTAACTGCTGTAACTGTTAAGCTGGAAATTCCCATTTCTTGCTCAAACTCCAACAAAAACCCTACCATGCAGCTGCTTGTGTCTCTCTGATCCACTGTGTTGGTGATGGTGGAGAGACCAAGCTTAAGCCTGAATAAAGCTCTTTGTCCTTGCATAGGTGGTCTGGCTCCTGGTGGTGTTCAGAAACCCTAAGATCTGGACATAACAAAACAATAGAGAAAGAATTCATTACCTTAAATTTTGCATCTTTCTCATTTCCAGAACCTGCACAATATGGATGATACTGTCAAGTTTGGCTTCTAAATTGGGATGGATCATACCATGCTTGGACCATAGCGGCAGCAGGTTCTGTATGCAGTTCACTTTGCCTACTCCTTCCATTAATTTAAGGCTTAAGAGGATGAAATGTCACCCTTAAGACACCTTCTTAGGCCTCCAATTCAAAGCAAGGGTCTTTTCTTTAATGGTGATATATCCTCGAAATTTCCTGCCTCGGTTTCACTTGACGGCCATGTGAAACTACCTAGTATTGTTTTTCTTTACAAATCATGAACTTTACATTTATTTTTACCCCACTTGTTGCTTTTTTTTTTTTTCACTGTAGTCCACAATGAGTCACTAGTACAAATTTACTATTCCATCTAGGAAATCAGCCCATTATTTTTTAATTCTGCCTTACTCATTCCTCAGGCATAGAATAAAGACAGATTTGGGGCCAAAAATCACACAAATGATCTCTAGCTAAATTTTTCATGGAGTCTATTTTCCATTGAAATCCTGTGACTTGCATTACTCTCAACACTATTCAAAACTAAATGCAAGAAAGCAGAATTTTAAAGAGAGAATGTATGGTTTGTATTAAAGACTTAAACAGTTAGTTTTGCACTAATTGCTTTATAATTCATAATCGCTTAAAAAAAAGACTAACCCCATTTTTATGTGTATGTTTGTGATCAGAAAAGAGGGTGTTAGATCCTCTGGATCTGGAGTAGCAGGTGGTTATGAGGCTCCCAACCTGGGTTCGATGTTGCTACCTGAACTCAGGTCAACCCCAAAAAGAATATTTGCTGATTGGCCTGTCCAGCCCACATAGTACTTTTTTAATCCAATAAACAAAAAGTCTTTCATAGATAATAACAACAAAAACCTAAATAAATATAGAAGTAAATAAATGATCCCTGGGAAGCTGAAGCTTCAGTATTAAGACAATGGGTATGAGACTAGGTGGGATGCCTCCAGACCTTCCCTGCTCTCTGTTACCTGAGACCGAATCAACACTCAGGGTTGCCCCTAATACTGCATATTCCTCTCCCCGTGTCCACACTTCCTGTAGATACACAGACCATCCCTATCTTCCCTTCTCTTCCTACCTCATCTCTCTGTCTGAGCCCCCAACTATAGGCAGACACCACCTGCCTCAACCACAGGCCATTCCTGCCAGAAGACTAGGTATTCTATCCAAAGACCTACCCCACTACCTGTTACCCCAGGCCCAATTCTCACAGTTGCCCTAGGCACCAGGGGAAGCTTCCTCTCTCCCTTTCCACACCTCCGGTAGATACCACAAACCATCCTCACCTGCCCTTTCTTTTCTGCCTCATCTCTGTGTCCCAGCCCCAACTCAGGCAGACATCCAAGCTCAACCACATGCCACACCTGCCAGAAGGTGAAGGCTGCCACAGATTTATCATACTATCTGTCCCCCCAGACCCAATTTTCATGGTTGCCCCTAGCACTAGACTAGAACACCCAGGCAGCAGCATCTCTCCCTTGTCTATACCTCCTGAGGATTGCTAAGATCACCTTTCCCTGGACTCCAATATCAGCAAGCATACACATTGAACACACCCACCAAGCAGGTCAGTAAAAGAGGTAACACTTAGCCAACACACTCTCCAAAAATCCAGAGAGCAAACAGAAACCCAGGAACAAAACTCTCTCACCCAAAGAAGACAAACGCAGAAATAAGCAACTATACCTATAATTACCCCAAATCCAGATGCCTAGACACCAGCATAGGGACATGATAACAGCCAGGAAAATGTCACCAACAGAGCCAAGCTATCCTACCACAGCAGGTCCTGAATATTCCAACATAGCTGAAAACACAAGAAAAACACCTTAAAACCAACTATACACAGGTGAGAGGTCCTGAAAGAGTAAATGAATAAATCTCTTATCAAACAATACTGGAGGAAACCAGTATATCACTTAAATAAAGCCAAGAAAAATAAAACAAACAGTTGAAGAAAACACACAAAACTGTTCATGACCTAAGCATGGAAATAAAAACAATAAAGTAAGCATGAACTGAGAGAATCCTGGAAATGAAAATTATAAGACTGCAAAGAGGATCTATAGAAAGAAGGTTCATCCACAAAATAGCCATGGAAGAGAGAATCTCAGGCATTGAAGACAGAATGGAAGGAATGGATACACAGGACAAAGAAAATATTAAATCTAAAAATTCCTGACACAAAATATCCAGGAAATCTGGGTGCTATGAAAAGACCAAATTTAAGAATAATATGAATAGAGGAAGGAGAAAAATAGCATATCAAAGTCCCAGAAAACATTTTCACTAAATCATAAAAGACAATTTTCGTAACCTAAAAAAGAAAATGCCTTCAACGTACAAGCATACAAAATACCAAATAGACTGAACCAGAAAAGAAAGTTCACTTGCCACATAATAAGCAAAACACTAAACACACAGAACAAATAAAGAATATGGAAAGCCTTAACAGAAAAAAAAAAAAAAAAGACAAAAACAAAAACCATATAAAGGCATAAAGGCAGACCAATTAGAATTACACCTGTGCTCTCAATGCAGATGCTAAAAGCCAGAAGGGCTTGGACACATATGCTGCAGACTCTAAGAAACTACAGATGCTAGCTAGCTCAGATTACTATACCCAGAAAATTTTCAATCACCATAAATGAAGAACATAAAATATTCCATGATAAAGTCAGATTTAAACAGTATCTATCTACAAATACAGCCCTACACAAGATGCTAGAAGGAAATATTCGACCCAAGGAGCTTAACTACACACATGAAAACATAGGAAACGAATAATCTCACAGCATCAGCAAAACAACAAAATACCAGGAATTATCAATCACTACTCATTGGTGTCTCTCAATATCAGTGTCCTCAAGTCACCAATAAAATGA